AATGTTTGGTTAAGTCCAAAATGTTGAATGTTTCACAGTTTACTCTGGTTGTATTTTGCTGACTAAATGTTAGTTTTTACCTTCTGCCTTTCAGTTTTCCTCTGCCAAAAGAGGTCATGTTTCCGGTCACGTCTGTTTGTTAGTTAGCAGGATATTTTCAAAACTTGTTAACATATTTCAATTAAAATGTGGCCGTTGGCTGAGGAACAAGTGATTAGTGGGTTTTTTGTGTGTGTGTGTGTGGATCCAGGGACGTTTCAAAGGATTTATCTGTGGGAGACCTTTTAGAACATTTTCATGAAATACTTAAAATATCTGGCACGTGTCCCATGATTCACTACGCAGAGCTGGATCCATGCAGGTTCATCATTATGGCAGATTTTGGTGGTTCATTTGAGTGTGTAAATATGGAGCTAGAGCCAGGAAGTGCTTAGCTCAGCTAGGCATAGAAGTTAGCCTGACTCTGTCCAGAGATCAAATATCCATCTAGCAATAAGGTTCACAAATGGACATGTTGTGTCGCATTTGTTTAATCTGTTCACAAACAAAGATGTAACCAAAAGATCCACAGCCACGCTGGCGGCCCTGTGAGGCTGGACTGAAGGCGGGGCCACCCATTACGATGGTTTGGCCGATTTATGAATATGATTTGGACGTGAAGACTGATGGGGCCAATGTGGACCCGGTCTGTTCTGGGTCACTTGTTGACAGCTGGCAGATAAAGAGTGTAATCTGAAGGCTGTCGGTCTTTCTCATGCAGATGTTTGACATGTTTGAGATTTGCGACAGACAACGGCTGGAGGGAGACGTACCAGTAAATAAATAGCTTTACCTGGAGTTAGCTTAGTTTTACAAGGCTCACTCACCTCCAGTTCCATTGCAGTATTTGTTCAGATACACGTGACAAATGGATTCGTGGGCTTGTTTACCTGCAGAGCTCCAGTTGTTACTGACCGCCGTTCAGTGTGTTTGACTAGTGTGTTCCCTCAGTCGTGAGGTTTGTGCTCCTTCCTGTTGTCTTAAGACTAAAACATCTGTGTAACCGTGGAAACAATTTGTGGTTTGTCCAGTCTTTGTAGGTTTCAGGTTTGTCCTAAGCTTTAGGCGCAGCGCTTTGAGCTAAATGATTCACAAAAAGGTTAAATGTTCACCATCTTTGTTTAGCGTTCAGTTCAACTGTATTGTCATTAACACAATGTGCAGGCACATATGTAACAAAATGCAGGGCATGGTAGCAAAATATAAATGTTATATTACTCAACACCACAGACATGAGAGTGGTAGCGATCTTTTTCTCTAACGCTCAGCCTGAAACCTAAGATGTGTATTTCCCTAAATGTCAGCATTGTTTGTGATAAACATGATGTTTGGGCAGGGCTGGACTTTTGGGACTGGGTGTCTTTCGTGTTGAGCTGCTGTCTGTGGATAGGAACTAGAAATAAAAGTCGGCGTGTGCACACCCTAGTCCCAAACCCTGGAGTTCACACGTTAGCTTGCCCCTGGGGTAGAGCCGGGCTGTTGGTCTGGCTGCCTGCCACTGTTACCGTGATCAGCATCATCCCACTCCAGCTTGTAGCGTGGTTGTCATGGTAATGACCATTTATTTGCAGGGGGCACGCTAGTCTCCAATATTTCCGGGAGACACAGGGACAGTAGAGGAAGTAAAGGTGAAAGAGAGAGAGAGGAGGAGAGTCGCAGACAGACAATTTGCACAAAGGGCAGGTAGATGAATCAGTCTGACATATCCTGTCTCAGGTCAGCCCATTCTACACAGCAGTAATAACAGGACCGGAAATATCCATCACTCGGTGGTGTTGATGTCGTCTGTTCACCTCCGTTAGACATCAAGTATTCTTCATTAGAACCTTGTTGTTGTGTTTTTTCGTCTCTGAACTGTAAAATCGACATACAAAGACATTTGCAGTAGTAGCAGTGGTGCATGTATCTAATAGGCCTGCATACTTCTTATTTAATGCTTGGCCAGATGTTCAGAACACAAGATCACAGCAGACCAGCAGAGAATTAGTCAGGTAGCCTGGCCCAGGGCCCTGTGGCAGGTGCCGTCCGGAGCTCATTATCTATGCGTACATAACCGCAGTAAAAACAATAAGGTTACTTCAGCGGACTGTTCATTCAGGCAGGCAAAGCAAAACAAACGACATAACCACATCACAAACCGCACAAAGAGCTGCAGCTCAGTTAAGTTCAGAGAGAAGGAGGAGACATTTCACTCCTCCTATCTGAAAAGGAACGGCGTTCTCCTGTCTGTCATGGTGGCGACGTGGTCAGTAACCAAGTTATAGAATGTCCCACTGGCTTTTTGTCCTCCGCAACAACAGAGTCAGTTGAGTTTGGCGCTACCAGCTAGCCACTCTGTATGGATCTAGTTTTCCTCATTGAACGTCCAAAACCCCTTTTTCATCTCCACGCCCAGCTCCAGTTTTGCCGTTGGTCTTCCGTCAGATTTAATCTTAATTGCTGCTGTAGTGCTAGTTTAGTAAAACTATTTATTATATTAAATAAAACTGCCACAGTTGCTAACAGCTCCCGTTATTTCATATTTATTACAACTCATTCAGTTGTAATTTAAAAACAAATACCGTAGAGCCGCGGCTCATAAATCAGCCGGCTGGTAATTTCAACCGATATAAGCTTAACACATGTCTATCGCTAAGAAGAAGAAATTGCACTACAGAAATGCCAAAGACAGTCAGTCCTCACTGACATGTCAAATACCACAACTATTAGATGAATTCAAGGGGCGTAGAATTTAGCAGGGATGTCCCTAGCAATCATTTTGATCCAAAATTGAATACATAACCACTGTTGTCTGTGTCAATGTATTTGGTACATAAATGGGTTTGTGTTGGACGATACGGCTTATAAATCTCTATATTTTTAGGCCAATGCCACGATATACGATACACAGGGCTGTGTAAAAGTTTTAGGCATTAACGCTTTTAAAAATAGACCTATTCAGTTCAGAATCAGTTCTTCTAGGTACACTTGCACATAGTTTTTGAAGGTAGGTTGTTCTAAACTTGTTCAGTTGCTTCTCTCTCTTCATGTAATCCCAAACAGACTAGATGATGTTGAGATCAGGGCTCTGTGGGAGCTACCATCACTTCCAGGAGTCCTCCTTTACGCTGAAGGATAGATCTTAATGACTTTAGCTGTATGTTTGGGGTCCTTGTCAAGCTGCGAATAAAAAAACAATCAGATGCCTCCCTGACGGTACTCGTTCATTCTTACCCAACCTGCTGCCTCTGTTTCCGTGCATAGTTACGTTGCGTGGCCTTGTTTCCATGTTGGAGGTTTGGCTTTTTGACCTCAACACAACACAGGAGGAGATCACTTTGTCCCCCTGCTCCCGCTGGGAGATGTTTTTAGGTTGACATTTATAATTTTTAGTTAAATATCTCAACAAATATTGGTTAGATTGTTGTCAAATTACACATTTGTGTCCCCCTCAGGGTGAATTGTAATAACTTTGTTGATCCCTCAGCCATCAGGTAACCATTTTTATTTTTCTGCCAAACAGCCTCAGATTAACTTATTAGCAAATGTTTTGATGCTAAACAAAGATGAACAAGATTTAAACATTATATGTGCTAAATATCAGCATGTTAACATTGCTGTTGTGAGCATGTTTGTTGACAAGATGGTTAATGAGGTAAACATTATGCGAGAGCCTATCAACACAGATAAGATCTACAAAAAAGCTCAGCAAAGACTTTTTCATCTACGACAGCTTAAGAAGTTTAGAGCAAGGTCTCATCTCCTGCTCCGCTTCTACATGGCCATCGTCGAAAGCATCCTCCTCTCATCCATCACGGTCTGGTTTGGCAGCCTTGACTCGTTTTCCCGGAAGAAATTACAGCGTATCATTAACAGAGCATCTAAAGTTATCGGTTCACCCTTACCATCCCTTGAATCACTCTATCACAAATGGACACTATGCGGAGCCCACAAGATCATTTCTGATTCTTCCCATCCAGCACGCTTCGCCTTCAAACTACTGCCCTCTAGGAGGCGTTACAGGACAATAGCCTGCAGAACAACTCGCTTTAAAAACCGTTTTATTCCAAAAGCGATGCACATTCTGAACTCTGATCTCTGAACGCTGAGGACAGTGGATTAAGCATGACCCCTCATGTATTATGTATTATATATAGTAATGTGGTGTCTGTATGTACGTGTGTGTTACTTTATATGTCTAAATATCTATTGTCTAAATGTTGGAACCTGTATCAATAAGCTGTACTGGAAACAAATTCCACCAGCCTGGCTGTGTGGTCATTAAATTAAATGAAATCAACTTTAGTCTATCTGCTCTGATTTAGCTGCACTGCTGTAGGTCGGTAGGACGGCCACAGAGAACCTATTGCATGGCAGCAAACTCTTGTTAGTTTTAGTTTGGAGAACTAAGAATCCAAAATATTTATATTAGGCTAGATAATTATTTCAGCCGTTTTGCCCAGCCTGGATCAGGAGGAGCTTCGTTGGATATTTTGTTCCACAATGGGTTTAAAGGGAATTCAGCCTTTGTGTTTTTGGACAGTCTGGTGGTTTTATCCTAATAACATGTAAACCACCTGTGTTCCCTGTTGAGCCTCTTTGGCTGTCATCAATATTTTATGAATCTTAAATTAAGACACTAAAAATTCCCTCTTAATCGGCTTTCGTCAATTATGCCTTAAGTCAATCATCCAGATGTTATATTGAAGTGCTGCAGGCTTCACTGTATTTTTGCTATTTATAACCATAATGAATCCAGACTACAGGCCACCAACGTGTCGACACTGAGCTTGAATTTCAGATTCAATTTTAAAATCTACGGTATGTGCACTTTCAGGGAGATTTCTTTGGCCCGGGGTGACAGAAATGACAAAGATGTCCACAGGCACACATCCACCTGTCTTGTCGGAAGGCGCTTTCTTGGTGTCCTTATAATAATCGCCCCCACCCCTCCCCACCACCTCCCAGCTCTCTCCTCTGTTTCCGTGTCAGGCAGGGAGATGTGTTGCTCGGAGCCGCGCTGGGTGTCTGTCGCCTCAGATTGAATTTCAGCGCGCCAGCAGTCGGGTTTCTCTGCGGGAGATCAGGTTTAAAACGCGCCCGCTGCCTCTCGCTCCTCTCCCTCCCTCGGCGCTGCTCTTTTCCTTCCGTCCACAGCTCCACACTTTGGGTGGAAGTTTTCCCCGGCAGAGCTGGTCCACCGTCCGCGGTGCGCTCGGAGAGTCGGAGGCATGAGGCGACATTAGGCGCAACTGAACGAGAGAAGAAGGAGAGAGGAGCGCAAGGCGAGGGGAATAAAAGGGTCTGACTTAACCAGGACTGGAACCAGGGACGACGTCCAAGGTAAGCGTGCGGCTTTTGTTACTTTACACCACCCTTATACACACACAATACTGCAGTGTAGCGAGTAGTAATACTGCATGGACTTCTTTGTGAGACTTGAAAGTGAGTTTATATACCTCTTAGTACTTTTCTGTACTAAACCTCCAGGGCTGGAGCAGGCTACATCTTGTTGGATAAAACTAATCTAATATCCAATTAAATTTCTGTCCATACATAAGGCGCATTTTATAAAGGTTCATTTAAAAAGTATCATCAATGGTTAATAAACAATGTTTTTCAGAGCTGAAAATGCTTTTGGTTACCAGGTGTTAAAGATTCTCTCTGGCTGGACTCATAAAAATGAATGTAATTAACAAAGTCATTCATAATGGCTAATGAGTCTTGCTATAATGAGTGGTTCCCAAACTAGGAGACACACAGGAGCAGGGTGAACATTTGATACTAAAGTTGAATAAACCTTTTTCAAATGGATATTTTGACTTGTCAAACAGGTGCAACTAATAATCCGTTATCAGGAGTAAGTGATCTGTAATTAGGGTTTTACTGTATTCCACCAATGCTTGAGTATATAGAGACCTAAAACAATTAATTGATTAGTCATTAGTGAATAATTCACTGGCCACTTCATCCCAGCCTTCTAAGATACACTGATGTTTGAGCTGTGGACAGTTGGTTAGACAAAACAGGACATCTTAAAACAGCATTACTGTCTGTCATTTAATATAGACTATCAGTTGATTAATTAAGGAAATTAACAGCAGCTTGAATGATACTGGAAACAGTCGTTGATTACAGGCCTTCTCTGCAGCACTTATCCAGATCTTGGTCAGTCGGTCTATTGCAGTCATCTTCCTGATGTGATTAAGGCATTGACAAAGCCAGCATCCTTCTGTAGGAGGATAAACACCAGCCACTATCTGGCAACCCAAAATGCGTTCTAATGAATGGCTTACGACTGACCTGTAAAACAATATCTGCAACCTTTTGTTAAACGTCTCTTTTCTGTTAATCCACAGTGACTAACACTGTCCTAAGTGACACAGACCTGGGTCTGTTTGATTCCTCTGGACCTGATCAAGAGCCAGTTTGGGCTTGAAACATTTTAAAGGGAGCATATGACACATTTAGAGAGACTGTTTTTTTAACACTAATTGACCATTAAACTTGTATAACAAAGTGATTAGTCGCTACTCATAAGGCTCTTTATAGAGGGTCCCTTATCCTGAGATCCCTAACGACAGGAAGCACTTTGGGCAGTTTGGTGTGCAGGTTCATATCTTGTTTTTGACAGTGGTGTGGCAGCTTGTGTAGTACGAAGGCGTGTCTTTGTGAAATATTCTGTCCTATAAGCTTGCTGGTGTAGCTATTTGGAAAACTACTGTAACAGCTAACCGCTAACAGCCTAGCCAACTGGTAACATCCTAACACTAGTCAGGCAAGATTGCTGTACTGGGCCATTTACCTCTTCTGCCATTTTGTTGTCAGAATTGTAACTTCACTTCAATAATAGTTATTCAGGCTCTCTGGAAAAAAACGAGTTAATGCAAAGTGTTGTCCGACCACGTCTGAACATCTGAAAGCAAATGTGTTGATGGTTGTTCTGAACGTCCACACTCGAAGGGTAGAAGTTGCTGGTGCTTCTCCTCTACGTTCCCTCAAACCTCAGCACTGTTGAGACTGCTTACTCATTGGTCAACGGTGCACATTTGTGTGTCAAAATGCACAAAAAATTGATCTCGGTGTCTGAAATTTGCTCGACAAATGTAGTTTTGAAATTTTATTTTTAATGATGTTCTGACCCAGCCTGAACCCCCCTCCCAAAAAAAGACACGTACTCAGTCTTCTCTGTCTGCGTCCCCCATTATTCCATCGGTCCCTCCCTTGTCTCACTTACAGCTTGTGAGACCTCACCTTACGTCTCTTCACTCAGTCATGGAAATGTTTTGTATGATGCTTGTTGTTAACACATGTTGTGTTGGATCATCGTCACCTCGTCTCGAGATAAGACTTACTGTACAGGTTTGTTTTTAAAATGACTCATTCTTTTTTTAGTGTTGGTAACATCTATTCATTTCAGCCACAATAAGAGTTCAGCACCTCGACTTGTTGAGTCAGTGCGCTTTGTGTCAGACCGTGAACGTCATTTGGAAGGTCATTGAAAAGCTATTTCTATAGTGATGTGTAGAGATTTGGATTAGTCCAGTAAGTGAACTTACTGAGACCAAATTAATAAAAATTTATTCAGGTATTTTCAGAGTTTTCAGGCTTTAACTTTACTGTAATGATTATTCATAGAAAATAATGATCCTGGTAATGAACTCCCTTGGGCTGCAGCTAATGATTATTTTCGTTAGCAGTTCATCCCTTGATCTCTTTTTTTAATTTATCGATTAATCGTTCAGTCCAAAAAATGTCCGAAAATAGTGAGGGAAAAACAAACACCTATCATAAGCTCCTGGGGTCCAAGGTGATGTTTTTTGAAAAATGGCAAATATTAGGCATTGTTTCTTGATACCTTCTAAAATGATTAATCTGTCATCAAGCTTTTTTTGCTTCATTTTCCAGCAACTAACTGATTAGTTGATCAACTAATACTTTGAGCACTGGAAATCCCTTCACTGATCTCAGTGAGCCTGGGATGGAGCTCTTTTTGAAATTTGTACAGGAACAAAGCTTCCAATTTTTTATTTTAAAGGAAATAGAAAGACAGAAAGGATTACTGTGACGTTCTGGATCACTGTCAGTTGTCCGGCAGTTTCAGAACCTGAATTAATATAGAATACAAATTTTCCGGTAAATATTGGATTTTGTGATACTGTGAACCTCAGCAGTCAGACGGAGAGGCGTTCTTTTCAGAGAGAGCTGTTCGGTTTGGATGTGACCTGGTGACTGAGGCAGTGACGGGATTTTATGAAACCATATAATTTCAGCTGCTGCTTCTCTTATCTGTGACATCCCAATCTGAGCAACCGAGGAATGGCATTTACTGTTGGCTAATTTACCTAAATGTCAGGTGTAAGCGTATACAGTAGGTGGGTGGACCATCTCATTTACCTAGAGATGTTTAATTAATGCTTGACGGTTCTACAGCCTGCACCTGCTATGTGTCGTGCATCACGCCACACTTTTCTCTGCTGCCTTTTTAAAAAGATTTTGCAGGAATATAAATTTGGACAGCCATCCGTCTACTCCCCCAGCCTCTTTTTGTTTACTGGACACTGCAGAAGCCCTCTTATGCTCAGTTGAACGGTTCAGGTCACTGATGTGGAAATGTACTGATGGTAATCTGAATGGGGTCAGGGGTCAGGGAGTAATTCCTCAGCTGTTTTCTGTTCTTCACTTCCAATTTGTTACACTTCCGAATGAGAGGGTGTATTTCTGGAAGGAGGTGACCTGGACACTGATACTGTATGAATGTATTGCAAATGTGAAAACCTGATGGAATTTTTCTTTCACTGTCTCTGTGGCGATCTCTCCATCAGGTAAACTATTTCCTTCCCTTCTGCATCTGTAATTGGTCAGTTCAGTCAACTGGGAGACATTACGTCTACAGAAACAAAACCAGTAACTTGGCAAAAAGCCTGTAACCTACTGAAATGCAAATTGGAGAGTAGTAAGTTGACGCACATGATAGAGGGTGGAGTGCTACTTAAATAAATAATGACTGAAAGATTGCATTCATGCTGCTGATCTTTGGTTGACTTGGGCACATCAGGCTTCTTTTTCATGGTTGCCATACAGGTGATGTTCCCTAAATGTAATTGGCTGTTGCAGTCCCAATACAGCTGTTGATACACAGTCCCTGGCACATCAAGATGTGTTTGCTGTAATCTTCTCACCCCTGTGGATAGCAATGTGATGCATATGGGGGTATCATTAGGACCATGAGAACTGGGATTGGTTTTCTTGGGCTGTTTGTGTTTTGTACTACAAGTTGCTGATGCTTGTAGAGGTTGTTGTTGAAGTGAATGAAATAATGTAATATAATGGTTTTAATTAATACCCTGCTTTCATGTTCAGTAGTTGGCTAGAAAAGGCAGGTTAACGCATTTTATTAATAGGTAAAAGCAGCACGTTTTATAAAGTCATCTAAAAGACACAACTCGTCTTTTATCCATATTTTTCTACCCGTAATTCGTTATCACGGCAGGAGGTGAGTCACTTGTGGGCTTGTTAATGCTATCAAACAACCGAAACCAGCATCTGCACCCTGTATGTTCACTGCTGCTCATAGCTACCAAGGTTTTAACCGAGTGAAGTCTGTGGGAGTGAACACATGCACATAAGACGACCGCGCTCGCCCCCGATACCATCGTCCATCCCGAAGTTTCAGTGTAGACATTGTCTGGTTTTGTAGATTTTGTAGATATCGCTCAACCCTATTAGGTAATGTTAAAGCATTTGTTTATGGTTGGGGACAGATCAGACAATATTTTAAAAAGTCAGACGCTGACTTTAAACATGAGATGGGATTTGATGACCTATTCAACATTTAACCAAAACCACGCGTGCATCTCTGTGTCTTGTGCTTGAAGGGTGGCGGCCAGATTCACGAGCTTTACTAATTGAAATTAAAGCACGTAAGATGTATGTCTCTTCTCTGGGGTGGGGTTGTTGAAAGTCATTCTAGGAAATGTAGGAGGTGCCTAAGCAAAGTCCACCTACACCTTATCATAATGAAGATAAATGGAAGAATATCAGACCGAAAAGAAATAGAAAACCCGAGTTCTGCTGACGCCTCGCTCGGTACAATTTCACCGTCAAATCTCTGGAGAGCATGGCCCTTTTCCTGCTGCTCATTTATCTCCGCTCTGACACAGGGCCCAGGGAGGAAGTGTGTGTGTGTGAGGGGGAGAGAGAGGGAGGGAGAAACACACACAGCTTTGGGTTTTGTCATCTGCAGTGATCAAAGTCAAACTTAGGGACATCTGAGTCCAATCGCTCATCAGCCCTGAAGGGCTTATAAAGGGAGAGAGAACGAGAGAGAGACCAAAGGAGGG